CCTCGCCGCTGCGCCCAGGGCACTACAGCTCCCAGAAGGCCCTGCGCCAAGAGTACACGGCGGGCCGCGGCGCGTGGCCTGCTGGGAGTTGTAGTCACTGAGCCTGTCGGCGAGCGAGCCGAGGAGAAGCCTGCGGCCGCAGTGTTTACCTCTCGCGGGCTCGGAGGTGATGCGCTGTTCTCGCGAGACGAGGCCGGGAGGCGGTTCCGCTACCCGGCACGTGTCTCGGGGTAGTGCGCGCCGCGTCTCTCTTCGGGTCTCGGCGCCTTGGGCGCAGCGGGGCGTGCGCCATGGGAAAGGCCAAGAAGGTCGGGGCGCGAAGGAAGACCTCTGGGGCGCCGGCGGGAGCGCGAGGGGGCCCGGCGAAGGCCAACTCCAATCCATTCGAGGTGAAAGTCAACAGGCAGAAGTTCCAGATCCTGGGCCGGAAGACGCGCCACGACGTGGGGCTGCCCGGGGTGTCTCGCGCGCGGGCCCTCAGGAAGGTAAGCGGGGGGCGCAGGGGGAGCCGGACGGCAGGATCTGGGCCCCATGCTGCTCTCGGACCGGCTGCGTCCTTCTCGGTGCGTCGGTTTCCTAGTTGAGCGGCGGAGGCCGTGACTTTGTAGTCACGGGACTGACTTTATAGTCCGAAAGCCTCTGCTGTTCTCTGAGCTGGAGTGACCTAGAAACTATCGCCCTCCTGGAGACCCTGCACTCGTGTTATTTCGGTGACTCTTCCAACCGGGTCAGGAGGAGTCGGTCACTTCGGGCGGCGTCCTGGACAGCTGCTTTGTTAACCCTTCCGCGTTTACTTTGAGCTCCTGTGGTTTAGGGACGGTGGGTAGGGGCTGCGTGGGATGCTCCGTTTGATGTTTGATCGGCTCTCCCCTGAAGCGCGTGACCTTGTTCCTTCGGAAGTAACTCTGTGGAAACTCATTGCTTCCTAGTTTTTTTAATATAATTTTTTTTAAATTTTCACTGAGGAACATACATTAGTAGGTTGGTGAAAAAATTAAGGCACAGAAAGGACAAATGAATTTTCTAAGGTCACACAACTGGTAAGGGCTGGGCATGCATTCACATTTCAATGTCTATAGAGCCTTCTTGCTACCCCGAGCGCTTCTGTTTGACCTCGCTTCTAGGTTCTGGGAGATAAAGGTAAATAAAACTTGCCTCTGCCTTCATGAGCTCCTGATCTCTATTCCATCACAGTGTGCAAGCTGGATGGTATTTAAATCAAATCAAATATCCTTACTGCACGAAGACGACAGCGTGTATAATAGGCAGGATAGACTTCCGGCTGACTTCGGTAAGAGTCGCTCATTACACACCCCAGGGCAGGGGTGGGAGAATAAGGTAGTGTGGTCCCTAGAATAGACACATTTGTCTTCACCACTGAAGCCTCAGTTTTCTCTTTTCTGAAGTAGAGATAATAATATACATCCTACCCCTTGTGGTGGTTTATGAGAATTAAGTAAGATAGCACATAGAGCACATAGCAAGTGTTCTCTAAATACTGTTATTCTTAGCCTTCTTGGCTTGTTGTTCGAGCCCCGCACAGTCCGGCTGTTTTCCTTGCTTCACCTCTTGCAACTCAGTGTGTCCAAAAGGTCTGCCTTACCTCCCAAAGTCTCTAAAGGGCGGGCTCAGGTTCACCACCCAAGCCATGTAGTCCAAATAGGACAGGTTGCTCAAACTTCTGGTATTGAGCAGATCCACCTCCCTGCTCTGTGCTGAAGGCCTAGGACGGGGGCGGGAATTCCTGCTCCTTTTTGGACCTCCAATGCTTGGCCCATGGTAGAAACAAATATTTAAAGAAATCAAAAGTGGAACCTGAGTGCCTTAGGAGATCACAGTCAGGAGAAAGTGTAACAGGAAAGTCCAAAAATTCTTCCTAGAGGGAGTTACAGCCAAGTTTCGCAAAGGGAGTGAGCTGTTCATGGTCCCAGGGTGGGCAGAGGACACAGATGCAAAGGCACATTGTCCTGGTGTGGTGAGGTGTGGCACTTGCAGCTGTCTGAGGGACAGCAGGTCGTCCAGTTGACTCTGAGCTTGATAACACCTGTGGGGGCATGTGAGGCCAGCGTAGGAGGCCTGGCTCTTTTCGTGTGGGCTGGTCCCTTAGAAGTAAGTGGGCTGTCTCAGTTGGCTTCTCCCCTCTGGTGGGTTGTAGCACTCTGAGGCACTCAAGTCTGGCAGGAGGAGGGCAGCCCCCAGGTGCCAGTCTCAGGACATTGCTTTATAGCTGTGCCTCAGTTTCCTTATTTCTGAAATAATTTATAAAATAAGTTATATGAATGTAGTTGTTAATGGGTAACTATGTTATTAATGTAGTTACTGGCCCCTTAAAGTTGGTCAGGCCTTGTGCCAAGCGGTTTACATTTAATCCTCACCTTTATGAGGGGGAAGTACTGTTATTATCCCTATTTTATGCCATAAATTCTGTATGATGTCACAACATCTATATAGTTTAAGAAAGAAAGAGAATCAGAATAATGTAGAATAACTCATATTACCTATTTATAGCCTAAGGGCTCTTCTTCACTAAGATTTACCCATAGAATCATATTCCAGATAATGAGAACTAATGTTTTTAGAGGCCAGATGGCTGACGCCTGCCCCATCTACCTCTTTCCTGCTAGGAGCCAGTG